AGATTATTTCAGCAAAGTTCCAGCTCGAATGAAAGAGTTTTAAATTTGGAACGATTTTCGTCCAAGTGGCCCTTTAAGACTCTCACAGAGACAGTGAAGACATGGGTAGGTGACATACAGACACATCACAGTACAAAGTTGTTAGTTATGCATACGATTAATTATGAACCCAAAGAGTTTATGGTTCTTATAGTAGGTGAAATTTGAACCTTTTTGAGTAATGTACCACGTAATGTACTTATAAAACTAAATTACGTATCTGGACCCGATATATAATATGATTATGCATGGACTACCTTACATTGGAACTTCCAAAATCAAATAACGTTCAAATTATTGTGGTTTGGACATAATCGTTTCTATTCACATATTCACAGACATATTTTCCACTGACACTATATTGAATTCGTAATTTTGGAGGAGCTTCGCTGTAAACTTTACTTATGGGTCAAGCAACTGCAAATTGAGATAAGGTGATACGCAGTTATAAAACTCCATTCAACCCAACGAAATTTTATCGTTGAATATAGTTTAAATGTTGGATTTTTTCTCATTGTTAAATTATACCAATCCAATGATATCTTGGAATCCGTATAATCAGTACAATTTTACGAAATGGCGAAAGCAATAATCATAATTCTTTTACCACCAACGTCGACGTTTAGATTACATAGCTAGGATATATTAACTGGGTACATTTATTTTGTAATTCTACAGACAATAATTATTGCATGGAGAACATCAAGAGACACTTCACATTGTTTTACTTTAAGCTTGAGCTTCACATATAGCAATTTTCACGAACGACAGATTAATAACTTCACACAATATGTGAAAAGTAAAGCTAGTTTTTAATACAGTTGTATAGGAATGTTTTTTTCTAGGATGGCGAGTGAGGATTGCACGAGAGCCTACATGTCTCAAAAATCCTCAAGGCTGTATAGCACTCAAATGATACTATATATTAGTTTCGCTGCCTTTTAGGGTATTCTACTTTCAAGTACATAGAAACACAGCATTAATAAATGATATAAAGACGCCAACAAGCCGGGAGTGGGCTAGTAAAGGCGGTCAGACGAAATTATGTGAATGGCGAAATATTCGAATGTTCACATTCTTACCATCATCGCCGCTCGCGTTCGATCGTAGCTTTTCCTCTTGATCATCCCCATATCAAGACCTCGTAGCGAAGGATCTTCCCGTCCTTGTAGTAATTCGTTGATCAGAGTCTCGTTGTAGTCCAGTGTTTCTTTACTCTGCCATCCATCGCCATTCGCGTGGCCATTTTCGGCTCGTCTCGGACGACGCGAGTCCATACCTTTGGTAGGCAATTCCCTCAATCACCAAGAACATTTGTCCAACCTAAGTCATCCATGACACTTTCGTCGAACTAAAGAGAGAAACTATGGGGTTTTCGGGGGGATTCACTTCCTCTAAACACCAAAAAACAAGCCTGCAAAAACACCTTCTCCACTGGTAGTGTTTGGGTAAAACGAGGGCGCACCTTTCACACGAACGTCACTTCCTTTTCAGATAGAATTCGAATAAGTGTCAAGACAAAGCAGAAGACTTTCTCTACGAGGCATCTACATTCTGGTCATTTGATGTGTAGTATTCTAGAGACGATCAGAACTAAAGATAATACGGTAATTTTTTCATTCAGTAGAGAACGAAATCGAAGCCTTATCTGTCAAAGTCAAGGTTATATACGATGCGCATGACTTTTACCGCTGTACAACGTTTGTATTTGCTGGCTCAAGTAGTAAAATTCCCATTCATTTTACGCTTTAGATTTCTCTTTTATTTTCAAATAAATGATCAAAAAAGAAAATTCCATAGGGGAAATATTTGATGCGATTTATTTCAAGACATTTTTTCTGGTGAAATAATCCATAGTCACGAAAATGAAAGCTTTTCTGGTATCCTCAAAGCGAAAAGCTTGACTTCCTCTCATTTCAGTTTTCCTAAAAATCTTTTCCCTCTCGAGATTATACGTTTGGTTTCGACATAAATCACGTACACCAAGTAGCATAAGAAAATAAACCCCCGCTAGTTATGATCATTACAATGAATGACTGAATTTAAAGTGATGATTCATCGAATAAACCCTGGGTAGAATAGATACCGTTGGTGAACCACAATGGCCGACTGTGGCTTGTATTGGAACCCCACCGTTGCTATCCCTTTTGAGAGAAGATGCATTAATCATACCAATAATCACGTACTAGGCTCAATTTCTAATCAGTGATTGTTTCTTGCATGGGTAATTTTAGATAAGGATAAGATAACAATAAACCTTGTGAGTCATGCATATCCCATGTTAAATAATCTTACTGTAAATAAATAATACTAGTAGAGACTATTATAGACTGCCGCTCGTCCAAGATGAGTATCAGACAACAGTGCTCGCTTTGAGATACTATCATTCTGGATCTAAAAGGCAAAACTTCAAACTGATTGATAAAATGTGAAGCACTTTATTCAATTCATTTTATTTTTTTATTTTTATCCTTTTTATATCAAACGATCGATTAAAAAGTATTAATGGATTGGATGGATGAGACAGCCGAAATACAATCAGAATGGAAAATAAAACAACTTTAAAATGAATGTCTTTCGATAGGGGGAAAATGAATAACGAAGCGGAAGAGAAGAAAGAAAACTAATAATCTGATAATCTTGAATTTCCTGTCGGCTATAATGTTTTCATCATAATATTTGGGCTATTGGCAGAGCTGTTAGCGCGCGAGTACGAAGTAGCCAATCAAACTGCCTCGCGGCTTTGAGAGTGCTTTATATTTGTGTAGCCAAAAAAATCCAGGATTTACTTGTTTGTATTTCGCGTGATTTGCATACTCTACATTCAAGATTAATAAAGTGTTAGTTTATTTTATGAATCACCTATACACACCCATTTCAAGTAAAGAATAGCCGTAACCGCACACAAGATAATATAATATAATATAATGTCGGTCTTCAGGGCGTAGCGAGGGGCGAGGGAGGAGCACGCCACTTCAGGCAAAATGGTTATTCAGTGTAGGGTTAATTACCTGTGGAATTGGCGGGAATTTTCGCGCCAAAACGCGTGTGCTCGCCCCTCTAACTCTGGTGCTTTCGCCATTGGTCTAAGTTGCTCAGCATATGGAAATTCCATAACCCAATCAATTCGTGCTTGCGACAATTTCATTTTCACAATAATAATCTAAGTGGCTAACCAGTTCCAACACTTGGCATGTCACACTGCGGCCTCTTGTCTTCCTTATCCATTCGTACAACTTCGCAATCGAATTGGACACCTTCTTTTGTTGAAATCTATTTCGAGGCTCTTTGAAAGATTGCATACCATTTCTCGCTTCAAGTTCCACATTAGTTTTCTTACTTATCCTAAATCTTTCTTTTCTTTTCAGTATAACTTTTATATCCTTTGTGAGTCTCAGCGTGATGTCAAGGCATAGAAGGGAAGCCATCAACGCATTGATTTTTTGACTTTCTTCTGCATTAGGCCTATCAGATAGTTGATCATCGACATTGTCCTTACCAAATATAATCGCTTTTAAAATGTTTGCAGATAGTAATGAAGTCAGAACGGAGTTACCAAGTGGAACCAATTGGTTTAGGATTCTATTGACAGTTTCCAATGCATTCCGTAGCATAGCCAGTGATGTTGTCTTAGGAACAACCAAGGGGGTGCGAAGCTTAACATGCACCTTACCCCGTGTGATGTCACAAACCACGCTGCAACGTAACAAATGTTTTTCACGATCTGATTTGACAAACACAACTCTCATTGCACCACATTTTACTTTGACTTCTAATGCTGACAATAACTGAATTCCATCTAACATTAGAAGTAGTTTTCTTAGAACAGGCCGTAATAGGTGTGGTCGCTGATCAGCATGATTTGTCGTGTTTACAACATCTGGTTCGTCGTGACAGCCAGCCGGTATTAGTAAATGCAATGGGGATATTACTCGTACTATTCGTGCCCTTGAAGGAAGCTGGGTTGACGCGCTTCTTGTTTCACTATGTGCACCAACTGACATCTTAGAGTGCACTCTTTAAAAATATTTATAATAATCTGTGAAAATAATAAAGTGAAGTGTTTAAATTAGTGGACTTCTACAGGATATCAACGCAATCAATACAAATTAAAACGTGTGATCACGGAAATAATCTGGGATCATTAAATATACGCCAACAGGCGCAATCGAATGACAAGGCCGCAACTGTGGCGTTAGTCAGAGCCGAGCGCATCTAAATTTTATAGTTTAGCCTTAGGATTCGATAAAAAAATCTTAAAAATCTTTAACTTAGAATTTATCATTATTCGTATTTTTTTGTTGTCATTATAATTTAAATTTTTGTTAGGGTGCACTTAGTTTGGAGCCAAGCTCTTAGGAACTTAGATAATTGTCATGGATAAAGTTATAATTGCGCAAATAAGAGTGTTCATGAACGATGCGGAGAAATATCAGTATATTGAGCTCTTACCTCAAAGTCCAAATGTAGGGAAATCGAAGGTGACAGTAAACTATGACATAAAATCAAGTCTTCGTATTTATTATGATCGTTTTAGCCAGGGTGTGTTTTATACAATCAAGGGGATGTGGTGGGTGGAATTTCGCTATCATTAGCACGTAGTAGTAACATGCTAGGACGCATCTTTGGAAATAATGAAACCAGGAAAAGGAAGTGATTCAGAATTTCAATTTCCTTGTATGGTTATTAATCGAAGGACGTTTGTGGTACTGTACTCTGGTTGATCGGAAGAACAATTTTTTTCGGAGGAAACTTCTTTAGCTTGCGCGTAATAATCCCATTTCAGACGTGTCATTTCCTTGAGTATCATTTCTTTGTTTAACGGTTGCGCACTAGAAGACAAATGAATCAGACATCACACTCAAAGAATCTTATCCTAATGGCACATGGTCTGAAATGGCGGGAAAATTATCAATCTCACGGCTAATTAGAGAGGTTAATATGCGACGGCACGACGGTAAAAATCAAAACTTTTGTTTCAGCGTTCGAAATATTTATCAATATGATCATTTTGATTGGCTACAGTTATACCACGTGATGCACTGGTTCAACGGGTTTCGTAATTCGTGGTTACCGTGGCTATAAGCTTGAGATATCTCTATAAAAAAACTCTGTTCGAGGAAAATTTATTATAAATTGTTTCAATCGTTTACTGTCTTGAGAAGAGAAAAGAAAATTGCCTCGTAATCCTTGGAGTAATCTTTAAAACAATGATGGGTTACCAATGTTTTAAATTACATTTCATCGTTACAATTTTTAATCAGAAAATTGCGAGCCAATCACTGTGCTGTAAAGATACTGAAAGAACTTTAGGGAAGTTTTTTCAGTATCTTTCGGGAAGTACAGGTGAGGTACGCTGCTAATGCGTCGCCTCTCACCAATGCTACCGGGGTTTAAGTCCTGTCGGGCTTGGTGTCCGAGTCGTTTGTTCTTTCCTTTGATTAGAGGGTTGCTAACCTCTTCTTATCTATCCTTTCGCACTATAATGCGAATACATTATTAGTTATAACTTCTGAAACATGGGTACAATATTTTTTTCAAAATTTACAATCACGAGTTTTACTCACAATCCATAATCCATTGGTTCTTTCGGTGCTTTTCTCTCAACACGTTTGCGGTACATTATGAAGATAATTATAGTTTGCTTACGTCTTATACTCTGATTTTTCTATTTATCTTTAGTAGAAACAATTCCAAAGTCATCAGGCAAGTTAAAATCAGCCAAACCCTCTGATAGGCCATAGAAAATAATTGAACATGCATAAGCGAGTTGATAAATATATAAGAAAAAGAATAAACTTGTGAAGTGTTTATTTTTGATTATCATGATATACAACACTAAAAGTTTTTCTAGCTAAATATGGGAGTCATCTACACAGTACACATAGGTACACATAGCAAAGCCGAAAAATATAATTCACGTGATTTTAGAGGCTATCTTCCAAGGCGACAATCTCAAAATAACTCTCAATATTTAGTTTATATGGGCTTCCTGTAGACAAGAGAGACTAGTTCTTAGTATTTCTTAACACAGGAAGCCCATCATCCATTTGTTTATCGCAAAAGAATTGAGAATGACTAATCTTTTGCTTCTAAAATTGACTGTGAAAAGAAACAAAGCAAGATCATAAAACATACAACCATCAACTTCATCGTATTTACTGTCTTTCAACATGCAACATGAATTAAATGAGGTTTTCATTTTGCATAACCAACTGCTGTGGCTTTTTTTACAAGTTTTCAATTTTTTTCTTCAATGGGCTCTTTCGTTATCTCGGTTGGAGCTTTTTCCTCCCTTTTTTTGGAACCTCTATTTTTAATAATTTTCTTGTCACATCCAATTAGATTAAATCGGCGACATTCATTGGCATCTCATCGACAGTTGTATTGTAGAATGTCTCAATATCTCTCATTGTACGCACATCATCTTTTGTCACAAAGTTGATAGCAACACCTTTACGTCCAAAACGACCACCACGACCAATCCTTGAAAATAAAAACAAATAAATGTGGATCAAAAAATCGCATTTACTTGTATAAGTTATTCATGCCACTGAGAATGAATAATCTTGTGGTTCATGTTACATCATAGCAGCTATGTTGGCTGACTATACAAAGCATTCCAAATTAAGTTCTTGTTAAATCAACAAGATGGTGGCTGCTTCATTGTCATTTATATCTCAAGGGATTTTTTGGTCACATGTTTGCATGCACTCTGAAAATTGCCAGTTTTCAATTATTTCCAAGAGAATGAAATAAAAAAGGCATAGGAGCCATCCAGCTGTCTGTATTTTAATTTGTAATATTTGTACTGTACCTGTGAATGTAGTTCTCCCTGTTGCCTGGCAAATCATAATTTATAACCAATGACACTTGCTGGACATCTATGCCACGTGCCTGTATAGGAAATAAGGATATTCATTGATCATCAGCTCTTCTTGGCACCTGTTATTTTGAGCTAGCCTTTATTTTTTAGTTTTGGCCATCGAGCTTTTACACAGCCAAAAAGGGAGGGTCATCAGTGTGTTCTGTCAGTGAAGAAGACTGGCAGAGGTGGCGTGCACTGCTAATGTGCCGCCTCTCACCAATGAGGCCGGAGTTCAAGTCCTGCCGATCTCGATGTCGTATGTGAGTAGAGTTGTTTGTTGGTCCTCTCCTTTGCTTTGAGGGTTTTTCTCCGGGTTCTCTGGTTTTCCTTCCTCCTCAAAGGTTAATCTAAATTCTAATTCTATCTTTGGACTTTCACCTAGTTTGGAGCCTAGCTCTGTTGTGATTGTCCCACGCTGTGATACAACAGCAAAAAGCTTTGTAGATTTTTTTTAGATTGAGAAGAATCACGATATTTATTACTTTGAAGAAAGGATTGATTTCCCTATGATAGTGTACCGATGTGGATTCCTTCAACTCTCCCCCTTCTAAAAGATAAATGCTTGCTAATGTTTTGTTTGTTGCTGGTAATAGTTGCATCCAAATTTTATAATCATGACAAACATAGCTTACCAGTAAATCAGTAGTAATCAAGACTCTACTTGATCCAGATCTGAATTCCTTCATGATGGTGTCACGCTCTTTTTGCTGCATATCACCATGCTAAACAAAATCAAAATAAAATAAATCAAACAATTCATATGCTTCCAATAGTATTTTAATCAAATAAACAGGCTTCTATAAAATAACTAGTCACAAAAATTATGGGGAAAATGAAATGAAAGGTTATTATCATTTCCCAATACAACTACCCCCTTTTACTGAGGATTAGTGGTTGGGCTATTGCAAATGCAATGAGTAACGCTTAATACACAATAAATAATTGGCTATGCCTCGTGTTCCTAAGCTGTCTTCTCTCTCGTTCTACAGCTCCCAGTGTATTTATATTACAATACAGAGAAATGGACGCAGGAGATCCCGTCTGCTTTTTGTAATGCTATGCAATGTAATACAAGACATTTTCTTCCTTACCACAGAAGATACTGTGAAGTCTTTGGAGAGCATCTTTTCTGTGAGCCAGTCCACTTTTCGTCTTGTGTTAACGAATATCACAGCTTGGGTGATAGTCAAAGTGTCATACAAATCGTACAATGTTTCTAATTTCCACTCCTACAACATTAAGCAATTATTCAAAAGAACATCAGAGGTTGAGTACTACTTCTATCATATACATTTCTGAATACTTAAAAAAGGGGGGGGAAAGGAAAGGCGCTGTTCATGGGCTTTAATGAATTGTACCATAAGGTTATAGTGTGGAAAACACAGAAAAATAGTTTTTCTTGTTGCAAAACGTTTTTTCTCTCCATTCTCTTCAAAATGATTAAAAAAATTATCTGCAACTTGCAATCTAATATTGCTTTGTGGAGAATTGGCAAAACTTTGTTGCTTGTGTTACCAGAACCTTTTATAGAGTTTTTAAATTGTGTAAGTTTGATAATAACAAAAAATATAACTTAATAATTAAAGTAATAAATAGGTCATCAGTTGGCTAAGCATCTGATACAATTGCGTATTTTTACGAGTCAATGAGTATTTTGGTGAGGAGTAAAAATGCACAGCGGTAACAGATGCTTAGCTGACTGATAAGTTGTTTATCATTTAATTCTGCAAAGAAATGCTCAAAATTACTCTAAACTGTACCGTACCAGATCGCGAGCAGATGAACAGTGCTGATACGGTCTCATGTCAGGCATGGTCTTTTCCCGTATCACACATGTTTTTTGCAGAATTAAATGATAGGTAAAAAGTAACAAAAGAAATAATACATAAAAGCAGAGCTAAAAATAACAGCTAGTTAGTTGTTAGTTACGACAACCAGACAAATTAGTTTTACGTCAGTCAAAATGAAAAGCAAAGCAAAGATTTGACTGGACAAGTTCCAAATCTGCTTGGTCATTGACTGATGACTAGGTGTTATTTTTAGCGCTGGAAAGAGTTGTTTTTCATGGTTACCTCCTTTTCAACACCAATATAAAACTGCCTGATACCCTCGAGGGTTAGTTCCTCCTTCTTCACCAAGATGCGGACTGCATCTCTCATAAAATTTTTAGTTACCTCAAGGACTTCCTCAGGCATTGTTGCAGAGAGCAGAATAACCTAAAAAGCACAAACGTTTCATCAGTTCCTTAAGATATTTACTGATTGAAAGGACTTGTATGTCATAGACACCACACAAACACTACGACTACAATTTCAACACCGAAACACTCACAGCAGAACACCAGAGTACCCAGAGAAAAATTCTTGTGGCAAGGGAGAACAAACTAAACTAATCTATGTGAGCCCATGACGACCCAATGCTTTAACTACACAGCAATGAGAAAGTGCATTACTCCTTGGTTGGTTTTATTAGCCCATGCCAACAATATTCATCAGAGCATGAAAACATGGTTAGGAACTGGTCATTATTTATCGAGAGGGGGGGCTGGTGCAAATAGGGGGTGGGTCAGCATTTTTTATGCATGGGTTTAAGCAAAAATCATGCTTAAAATAGAGGGGTTCAGCAAAAATCAAGCATGGCAAGCATAGCCCCCCCCCCCCCCCCTCTCAATAAATAATGACCAGTCCCTTACATGGTTAAATTTATGTTTCTTCAAACAAAAAAAGATGTATTTCCAAGCTTTCAGGCATTAGTGCCCATCTTTAGGGATCTTGCTGCTATTAGAGCATGCTAGAGTAAGACAACTTAGCTTGTGTGCACTCATGCAATTTCAAACATAAAATCTGTAATGACAAATTACACCAGTGTAATCTATGAAGATGGGCAGTAATGCCTGAAAGCTTGGAAATAAATTGGTTTTGGTTGAAGAAACATTATTTTAACCATTATAAAACCAACCTACAAAACAACATTTGACATACCTGTACATCACTTTGGAGTTTCCTAAAAACCTTGTAGATCTGATCCTTGAAGCCTCTTGACAACATTTCGTCAGATTCATCAAGGACAAAAATCTTGATGTGATCAGTTACTGTAATAGTTAAAGAATAATGCTTTAGGGACATATATCCATACTATGACTTAAATAAATATATAAATAAATAAATATATTATCATTATCCTCTATGCCTGTGTGCCATCATTATCCTCTATGCCTGTTTGGCACGTAGGGTTGACAACAACGACTTCATGTTTATCCTTTGTGTTGGTTTGCATAGTAATAAGCAATATGTGATGGGGTTGCTGGCCCCAATTTTTAAGAATGAAAGGATGGTGTATAAAATCTCAATGCAAACAAATACTTACTTAAACAATTTCTTTCAATCATGTCAGAGACTCTACCAGGAGTACCAACAACAACTTGGTTCTGCTTTGATCTCAGCTTTAYCATGTCTTCCTTTACATTAGTACCACCAATACAGGCATGACATTTGACATTCAAATAATCTCCCAGAGCTAAGATTACCTTTTGAATCTATAAGAAGAAAAACTCAACATTAAAGAGGAGGGAAACCCTAAAAAAGAGTATTTAGAACAGGTCTATTGTTTCAGAGTGTGATTTTTTGCTATGTACCTGTTTCACATACGTCAAACTTCACATGAGCCAAACCTAATGACATCAAATGACTGSCTTGTTATCCATTGTTTCAATTAGGTTTGGCTCATGTGTAGTGAGACGTTTTCCCTGAGATTAAAGCTGCAAAACGGCAATAACAATTACAGGCAAACAATAGCACTAATTGCAATATTCAATATAGCGTCATTCTAAAGTATAAAGCACTGTGCGTCATTGTATGCTAAAAGTATTAAGTCCAATGTCCTTGATTTAGGTGGTAAATAGATTTGCAACCCCAAAGCTTATCTTTGTAAACTTTCGTTTCAAGTCATGCACTCCCAAAATACGTCATTTAACTATAAAACTAGGGTGATTATTGAATAAAATATTAGACAAACATTAGACGTTAATAGAATATTGGAAGGTTTAAGCACATCAATTTTGCTGACACCTGTGCTACCATCCTACAACTTAGGGTCCCTATTATTAAAGACCCAGATTTGCATATTGTGTAGGGAGACACATTTCTAGTTACCAAAGGCCCTTATTATCCTTGTCATACCTGTTGCGCCAACTCCCTGGTTGGAGCAAGGACTAAAGCCTGACATTCTTTTAGATCAAGATCAATCTTTTCTAGGATAGACACAGCAAAGGTTGCTGTTTTACCAGTTCCTGACTGAGCTTGGGCAATCACATCTCTTCCTGCAGGGCAAAATAATTGATTCCATCAAGCAACAGTAAAAACTCTATTCTTTTGCACCTTATCAACAGTTTCAAACCAAAACAAGGGTAGGTGTGCATAGAGCAGAGAAATATTCACAATTTCAATATTAAATAAAAATTGTTATATGGACAATAATAATTATTTGGTGAATCTGCTGGAAATAAACAGATATCAGATAGGATAACTATTAATTAGTATTACATTTAACAACAATTTGTAAGCATAAACATGATCGATAGTAAGTATTTATTCATTGCTTAATTTGTTTTAAACAGGAAATATTTGTATAAGACAAAAAAATCAATATATAAACTTTAGACTTCATTTGCACATGAATTAACGAGTTTTCATTATGATTTACATTTATGATTTACTTTTAGAAATTACAGGAGAAAGAAAAAACAAATATGATGCTTAAAAACATGAATGAATTAAGTGTGCAGTGGTAGTTAAAGTAGCATAAACTTTAGAGTTGACCAAAAGGAAAACAAGGCAGCATTAATGGTAATATTTTGGGTGGTAGGATCTGTATTGATTGTCCTTAGAAGAATTGATCAGCAAAATACAACGTATTTGGCTGATCCCTAGTGATGACTTTAACTGGGCTTAAAATAGTGGCCAGACATCAAAAAATATCTATCCAGATTTGGAACCTGTCTGGTCAAATCTTTGCCTTGCCTGTCATTTTGACCATTAAAGTTAAGGTAAGCCAGAAACAAGGTATGACAGAGCTAAATTTGGCTGATCATCACGATCAGTGACTTACTGGCCATTGTTTTAAGCCATTGTTTTAAGCCCTGTTTATAGTGACAAAAGGCAGAATGAAAGATGGGTAGACAACTTTATTTAGACTAAATAAGACATCAGGGTAGGCCAATCAGTGGCAATGTGCCTCTAATATGAAAAGGAACTAGTAACTATTAGTATTATAAAATGCAACACTTGTGCTGGCACAATATTAGTCAGTTCTTTAACTACCCAACTTATAAAGACAGTAAAATGTGGTTGTATTTAGTAGATGGATTTCCTATTTAGTAGATAGGTTAGTAGATCTAAAGTTCACTCTCATTAATACCACTATCATATCCTAAGCCCATTCATTAGTGCATCAAAAAAATAGATCCTATATCAGACAATAATATAACCACTCATTCGTTCTTTTTTTGAGCTTACTTAAGATTTCTGAAAGATCAAGTTTTGCTTGATCTTTTGCTTTCAAATTTCATTTCAAATGCATGACTTATATTTTCATAGAGGACTATTTCATCTAGTATTAACATCGAAGCAATCATCTACTGTAAATCAAATAAAGTGAGATTGGAATTTTTTTGTCTTTCAACAAAATATCTCAGTCTTGCCAAAAATAGTTTATTCGAAATAAAATAATGTTTGTACTAATCTAAAATGCCAAGTTTCCATACACCTTCAAAGAAAATTATTTTGCTAAATCCAAAGCCATTCATTTTGAGGAAAGATACTGGGTTAATGAATTTAAAATGTATGAATATTGCGTAATTTAGTAAGCTTACATATTCTTTACAAATCATTTTAAAATTTCACCAACATGTATTTGCTTTTTGCGTGATTAAATGAAACGATTGTAATGGAGAAAACGGTATGAAAGGTTGTTTGGCCACAGATAATATTTCAAGCTGAAATAATTTCATTCAATTGTATAGTAGGCATCCATTGATCAACACACTGTTGCCAGAAACCGGCTAAATGAGTTAACATTTTACCTACGATACTAACCTCTACAACAGGGAACGATCGCTCTTTGCTGAATAGCAGAAGGCTTTTCGAATCTACAGAAATAAATGCAAAGAATCGTTCATGATGAATGTTGAGGATTTTTTCACAGATTCTATAAAGATGAGTCATAGCTTAGCTTTTCGGGTGACCGAAGGGAAAAGGTAGCCTTCTCCAATTCTACTTACCCATAAGCATAAATACCACGAAGTAAAGCTTCCTTCAGGTTCATGTCATCGAAATTATCATAGACTTCATTCCAGTTTGACTGAGGATTTAAAATTTTTCATTCATTATTATTAGGGAATGATCGAAGACTCAGAACACGACGTCGTACTACACGACTTCTTGACAAACCTCGATATCTCCAACTGTATCTCTTTCTGGCCCTCCATCCGCAAACTCCTCCTGGTCTTTTCTAAAAAATCAAGGAGATTACATATGAACGTCCTCGTTTAGTTTTTTACCAAGAAAAAAGATCTTTATAATCCATCCCGGCAACAACACGTGGTACGAGAAGGGCTGACAGAGAAGACGAACCGCTTGGTCTGGGTCTAAATCACGGGCAATTTACCATGTATAAACATGATAAAATTCACTCAAGGACGAGATAATCATCCAGAGATGATATATCTTTCATATTTGCTTCAAATTGTCTCCCAAACAAAGCGATAAATACATATAATCTTACCTTGATTCATTTATTCCTTCGCGAGACATGTTGCATGAAATATAGCAGCGGGAAAAAGGCCGAGAAAGGCCGGATGGGCCCTAAAGGGGGGTACAATGAATTGATCCATTCGCTAAGCCCCTGACGTCACATCATTTCCGCCTTCACACAGGAATCCCATAACATTACACAAGTTTATATTCAGCTTTCAAAACAAATGAATAGTTGGTATAAACATTACTCATGGCCAGCATCATTTACACGGTCTACTGAGGTCTCTACTGAACTTATAATTTGTGAATATTAGTGTAATTTCTTACAAACTTTTTTACGGATATATCGTATGCACTAACCCCACGTATAATAAGAACCTAGATTTTTCCAAGTCAGCCTGAACAGATTCTTATATAAATTGTGCTTAACTTGAAATCAGGCTACCTAGGTTCTTAAATGGGTTCTTAATTTTTGGTAAGAAAAAGAGTACTTGTATTGGTGGGCGTGGCATTTTATTCAGTAAATAATTCACACATTTTTACACGGGAAATCATTAAGTAAAATACTGTACTAAATAAAAACTGTTAGGTAACTATTTATATCTTATTTCATGGACACAGTGTAAGCACTCTAACATACAGAGTACTGTATTTTATTAATACAAGAAAATCAAACAGATTGACTTTATCAGTCTGAAATGGTTCTTATGTGAAGAGTGCTTCAAATAAAAATTTCAGCCTGACAGGTTCTTAAATTTAAGGTTCTTATACGCGTGGATATACTGTATTTGATGAACGCTGCGAATTTTGTTTATACCAAAACTCAAAGGTGGAATTCTTAGTGAATAGAGAAACTTGTTTTCAGTAGACTGTTCCAGGAGAGAGGCAAAAAGGGGGAGAGAGGAGCTAAAAAGAAAGCGCCACTAAGCGTCTCTGGAACCAGAGGGTACTGTTCCAGTCTCTTCGCTGATGAGTACTGTAAACTGTACTTTGCGGACTGTCGTCTCGTTTACGACTTCGCAGACTTAATAAGTTTTGGTAGAGATCAATCCATCTGCTCCGGAACAATGGTATTCGTATACAATAATGAATCTTAGCAAGAAAAAATGAACTAAGAGAAGAAATACCCGCACTCCATCATACGCAATCTTTACTAACGCTATTTTTAGAATCAATTTAGCTAATTTACATCAGTTGTTTAGGTGTCTGTCCTCTTATTGACGATAAATTTCAYCATCGCACTCTCAAGTTACGCATCGTGGATCTACACTACTTTGAGATCGTGAGGACGCTAATATACACATAAAAAAACTGACGTCAGCTTGATTTTGGAACCACGTCGTTTGTAAAGACGTTATTACGTTTGGCAGCTTTGCTGATAATGTGTTCCACTTGGCTGTTTCATTCGAAACCGTTCCTGAAGGTAACACCCATGAAAGTCTTGGTTGAATGTCACGTGAAATCCACCTCTTGGCCATTTATCGGCACGGGATCCAACGACGTACGGTTGGTGTCTATTTGTCACGAGTTCCTTATAATTGCACTTGCCAGGAAACTGAAACATATTTCTACTGAGACCAACTGATCAGCGACTTGTTGTGACTGAAGACCTTCCAATAGGAAACAAGAACCAGAGTTGACGTTAGCACTGGAGATAGTCGTATCATTTGCGACCTTTTTTACGTTGATAAGAGTAGATCAGATGGAATGTTAAGATCATCAGTTATCATTACGAGAAAAAGCCATGGACCCAGGTTTGTGCCCTGGGAAAATGCGGCTGTCAGTTTTTACCAACTTGAAAAACATTTGGAAGGATAAAATATCAACTAACCAGGCCAACTGAAAGAACCGTTCTATTGGCCGCTCRTCTGATAATAACCCAATCGAATCCATATCTGTCCTAGCGTCGTTGGCGAAAAGACGCATGGTAATCTTTCCTGTTCGTGACAGCCGGGCCTCAGCCATGTACATGATCAGCGAAACGAGAAGTTCTTGAATGTCGAGCCCCAGGCCCCAGGCGGCGTGCGCACTCCGACCGCAAAGCACTATACTACCACATTTTCACACGTTTATCCACAGGCAGCCCAAACAAGGTTTCTGTGTATGGTTTATAAGCAAGGGAATGTATGGAAGTTATGATGTAGATATGGCAATAAAATGTTTCGCTCAATAATTTTCTTCAAACTTGGTGTCACGTTCGGCCAATGAGAATGCAGGATGTATCATGACCCACTCAAGCTTAACGATGGCCGTTTGAACCATCGATCACACGCCCGCTGTAGAAAAAAATCAAATGTTCAAGCAAGGATTTTTCTGGGAATATTTGGCGTGATGACATTCTGTATAATAGAGAAATTATCATTCTTTTGATATGTTGCATTTTTATTGCGGTTCGAGGGGAGAGAGTGAGATTTTTTTGGGATTTCCTAGCGTGATGTGGTCGATAGCGGGTGCTAAGTCTCCAGCCTTCCCATTATTTCCTCTCCCCCTCCCCTTCCCAAAACCCCTTTGAGAGCCGCTACACGCAGGCTTATTTTGACATGCATCGAGTAACGCGATGATTGCATATCAAACTTATTCCATACATTTATGAACATTTGCTCTTTTTAGCGCCTAGGCCTACGCGGACACATTTTAATGTACTGCGCATGCGAATCAATCCCATATATGGATTTTCAAAATGGCGGATACGACTCGTGTAAAACGTGAGTCAAAATTTCCAGTGAGGTATATGCAGGAATTTTCCTCGGATTTTGCTTCAAAGCAAAGAAAATCGTCAAAGAAAGACAATAATCTTTATGACG